CGATTCCTTATCGTTCTTCTTGAACGATTTTTTTATCGTTCAACTCGAGTCAACTCGAATCAAGTCGAGTTTAAATCAAGTCGAGTTAAATATTTAACTCGACTCGAATTTAGCTTGACTCGCAATCATCGAGTCAAAAAAAACACCAACTCGACTTGATTTGAACTCGACTCGGCTTATCTAACTCGTGAGTTAACTCGACTCGTCCAGAACTCTAATCCTGTAAAACATCCTTTATAGGATGTTTAAAAAAGAAATTCAAAATCAAAATGCTGCTCCAAATGCTCCCCACCTTAGAAGTTATACATGCTCGCATTCCTAATATATATACTTTAGCATAATGCTTCCGTTGTCACTCTACCATTAAAAATTTTGAACACATTTGGCTATGCTCTGAGAACAACCCACCCTTATATGACATTATTGCTAAACACAAAATTTCATTCATCACTCATCTTCAAGAATTGAATACCCTAGAAGACGATTCACTAATTCAAGATATATGGTCAGACACTATTTGGACTTCAGTACCCTTTTCAGCTAATTTCTGGATCATCGACTTGCTTAAAGGGATAATCCCCTCATTACTTTCAAATAAAGTTATCGCATGTGTATCTACATCATCTCTCTCATATGGTCTATTATCATCCCTTTACCACAACTTTTCTACGTCTTGTTACGAGATATAGAACAATAGAAACACTACTCTTAATGAATAGAAAATTGCTAATAACATTGAAGATGACTATACAACCCCTTGGATTTTCTCTGGTTTTTCACATTCCTCTTCTCTTCCCTCAACTTCAAACCTAAACTCCTTTATAGTTGCTACCGCCTATGGCTCTCACTGGTCAAATTTTTGGAACGGCAGTAACCACGCCCTCCTTTCCGAACGTTTGATAGCTATACAATAGTTTAGTCCAGTTAAGTTTTCTTTTCTTTTCTTTTTTATTTATAGTTTAGTTCAGTATAGTGCAAGGTTGGTATTGATAAAGTAGTTTAGTTTATAAATTAATTTATAGATATTTTTGTATTTTCTATTTTATTATATGTACCTAGTATTTTATAAATTTAATAAAGATCATGCAAAACTACCGCACTAAAAAAAAAAAAAAAAAAGGTAATAGTTGGAATGCGAAATGGCTGGTAAACAAATGGGCCAGGTCAAGATAATACATATTACACCTCCAATTCTCTACTAACCAACGGACCACCAGACTGGGGTTAGGAAGATTTCAGAAATATATGGATACAAAAAATATGTGATACAAATGCATATATATTGGATACTGAAAACATTCCTAGAACATTCCCGTCACTAGCCTGTAACTATATAAGGGTGTTCTATCACCAGAACAGTATCACGTGACTGGCGCAGTAAGGCGCAGTATAAATTCAGCCAGCATTATTCTACAATTTCGGTCAGAACTTTGGGCATAATGATTTGGCATCCAAACCAGCATAGAGAACTGGTGAACTAATAGGACTATACTAGCTCCTTGATAGTTCTCTGCCAGTTTCATAACAGTTTTACAATAGTTCTAGGATACTATCAGGTCACTAGCATGACGCCAAGCTGGATCCTCAAATCACATGCCCAAAAGATCAGCTGAAATTATAGCATAGTGTCAGCCAAAATTAATCATAGATCTACTGCGTCACCTAATACTATATTTTTTTACCACAATTGGCATTTTAACAGGTAACCAAATAGGCACAAAGGGTAAGTATCTCAATATAAAATCTAGCATTCAATCAGGCGTAGGAGATTAACACTTCAATATAAAATTAGATATCTAAACTGTTACAGAAGGTTAACAACTTTAATAAAGAATTTGGCATGCAAAAGACTTAAAAACAAGAAGAAAAGCGTGGTATTTAGATTATATGTGTGTGGTATTTAGATTATATTGTAGTAATAAAATTATACTAACATAAAAAACACGAATAGCAGAAAAGGCTTAAAGACATAGCTAGAACATAAAAAAGCTATAAGCAAAAGTAAAATAGTAGATTATATGTAGTAATTAGATTATATTATTTAGATTATATGTGGTAATTAGATCATATTATTTAGATCATATGCGATACCCAGATTATATACGATATTCAGATCATATGTAGTATTTAGATTATATGTGATATTTAGATCATATGTAGTACTATAATCTAGGGTAAGTGAGATACCACATGTGATATAATTATATCACATGTGGTATCCTACTAAAGGTATGACATAGTGTGATAAATTATTTATATAAGAAAATCATATAATACTAGTATTGAATATCATTAGTAATATATAGTAATTTTCTTATTAATATATATTAATTTTTTAATTTTTTTTAATTTTTAAAAATAATACATTATATAATGATTATTTAAAAATAAAATTCAGTTTATTAGATCCATTTTATTAAGATCTATTAAATAATAGTATTTTTATATTTGAAATTAATAAATAGCAAGATATATAAATTTTATTTTAATATTATAATAATAATTTATCATTTATTTATCTTTAAAAAATCACTAGTTAATTACATTTTATTTTAATTTTTATTTAGAAAATATCATAAAATTTATTATAAAAGTATTAATTTTTAAAAATATATTTAAAAATGATTTTTAATTTATAAATAAAATTGTCTATAAATTTGTAGGTAAAATAATTAAAAAGATATTTCTATATTTTATTAATTTTTTAAATATTATTATATAAAATCATTTTCTTAAAATGAAAATTTTAATATATATTATTAAATAATGATAATATATAAGAAATATACTAAGAAAAATCACATTCTAAGAATTTTTTAACTAAAATTAAAAGTTTAATACATATTAATTTGATAACATTAAAATTATAATGCAATAAAAATTAAAATTTTATTAAAAATTTTTAAAAATATTTTATTTTACAGATTATTAAACAATATCAATATTAATAAAGAAATACCTTTATAAATATATCAATAATTAAAAGATAATTGTAAAAATATTATTTTAATATTATAACTTTTTTTTTTAAATAATATATTTTTATTTATAATTTTATGAAATAATATTTATTAAAAAAAAAAAGTATCAAATTTATATTAAAAAATATATATATATATTTTTTTTTTAATAAACTTAGAACAATTAATTTAGAAATGATCGTCAATCACATCAACTAATAAGATCTCGTGAAATTTTTTGTTATAAAAAAAAAAAAAAATCTTTTTTTTTTCGAAGGATATCTTTGGAAACAAATCCATCACTTTTTTTTAAAAGAAATAGTTTATCATGGTAGAGTATTGAATATCATTCGATTCATTGCATTGCAACTGATTATTTAAAGAATGCACAAGATTACCTGAGGGTATCTTGGTAGCAAATACATACAAAGTTTTTTTTCTTTCTTCCATGATTATTCATGATAAGAAAGAGGAGACAAAACTTGTATTAGAGCAAACATAAAATAAAACAACAAAAAAACTAATAAGTTTTTTTTTTATTATTTATGTTTCGCTCAATGATCCACTTTAAATATAAATTCGATACTTATAGCCTCCTAAGAAATCTGGATCGAGAAAAGTAGCTCCTGCTCCTTATCCTGTTAAGAAAAAGGATACGAGCAAAAGTGCTAAGAATCCTTTATTAGAGAAGAGACCTAGAAATTTCGGAATTGGTGAGTGATTTTTGTTTTAAGATTAATTTATATATAATATAAAACGTTTTATAAATCTTTCGCTAATCATGCTTTTCATGTTATTAAGGCCAAGATATCCAACCTAAAAGAGACTTGACCCGCTTCGTTAAATGGCCCAAGTATGTTCGTCTTCAAAGACAAAAAAGGATTCTTAATCAACGTCTTAAGGTGCCACCGGCAATTAATCAATTCACCAAAGCATTGGACAAAACCACCGCGATCAATGCCTTCAAACTTCTCAACAAATATCGCCCTGAAACCAAAGTTGAGAAAAAAGAGCGACTCTTAGAACAAGCGAAATGTAAATCCGAAGGTAAAAAGTATGAACCGAAAAAACCTTTTGTAGTTAAATATGGCATTAATCACATTACTGCATTGGTTGAAGCTAAGAAAGCCAGTTTGGTTTTGATCGCTCATGATGTTGATCCGATTGAAATTGTTTTGTGGTTGCCCGCTTTGTGCAGAAAGATGGGAGTACCTTACGCTATCATTAAAGGGAAAGCCAGGTTGGGTGCCGTGGTTCATAAAAAGAATGTCACGGCCCTGGCATTTGTTGATATTAAAGATGAAGATAAAACTGCTTTTACTAATTTGATTAGCACTATTAAGGTTAATTATAATGATAAATATGAAGAAATTAAGAAGCAATGGGGTGGAGGGATTATGGGCGTTAAATCTCAAGCCATGATGGTTAAACGTGAAAAGGCATCTGGTAGAGAAATAAAACCCGTTATTTAGTTTTTGTTGTCCAATTAATTTATAATTCTATTTAGACGTTTATTTTGCGTTTATGATTTTTAATTATCTGTTGTAGTTAAAAATAAAATTCTTTGGGTCATTAAAGATTGATTTTCTCTTTAAATTGTATATATGATTATTTATGTTATCACGTTAGTTTATAATACCAATTATATGCTAATCACGTTTGTTTAAAACACAAATCAATCTTGGTGTAAACAGCTTCTTTTAAAATTTGAAAATTTGATTTCCATTAAATTTTATATCACCATCCAAAACAACGATTTTTTCTTCTTCAGAACTTTATGAATAAAGCTTAGATATTGTTATAAATGTTAGATCATTATTACATTGAAAGATATATAAGTTTCAGTTAATCACGTGCTTGCATTTTTATTTGTTAATTAATACAACCTGCGGTTTGTATTTTAAAAAGAAAATCCATTGTTTTGAAAAATAAAATGGCAAATAAATGCTATTATTTTCTTATATATGCTTAAGTTTATTTATTATATTTATTGATTATTATAAATAATATAAAACGGAAAAAACAATTTTATTAACTGAAGTAGCAATTTGTTTCATCTAGCTTTTCAAACATAAAGAATCATAAGCTGCATTAGAATTAAAATGATTTCAAACTTTTGTAATAGTATATGATGCCACAATTACCTTAAACAACAAGATAATTATGACATTTTTGATAAAATTAGAAATTTATTTGTATATTGATGTCATTAAGATAATGGTTTAAATTGTATTAATGATAAAGTCAAATATCTTTTTAATTCTCCTTTTAAATGATTATATTTCATTTTATTATTGCATAATTAAATTTTCAAAAAATGATCTAATACTTATACTTTTTTCTATAATATCATTTGAATTATCTAAATCTTGTGATTGTATATATATAAATAATTTTGATTTATTGTTTTATTATATTATTCTCTAAATAAAGAAATAGTAATTTTGATCTTGGATTAAGAATAGTATAAGAATTAAGTATCTTCTAATAATTATCAATTTTTTATATATAAAATTTACTATAATGAATCCTTCTAATATATAATCATTAATATATATTTTAATATATTAAAGAATTCTTGTAAAATTTAATCATATATTACTAACAATTAAATATAAACTTGAAAAAAATTTTTTATTATTTGTATATTAGTTTTAATAAAATAATTATTAACTATACTTATTTTTATTCATTTTTATTAATTTAATTGTTTGTTATTACAAATAAAAAATCAAGTTTTTCATGTATTCATTTAAAATTTTCTAATATTAAAAATATATTATTTTATTATGTAGAAATATAAGATAATCCTTTTTTATTATCTTATAATAATTGTAAATATATTATAAAAAATAGTAGAATAATGAATTTATATATAAATATTCTAACTTTATTAATAATTTTATTCTTAATTGCATTTTATGATTAATTGTAATATTTAAAATATATAATACATATTAATTGCTAACCTGTGAATAATCAGCACTAAAATCATGTATTGATTATATAAAATTAAGGGTTAATAATATTATAATTTTATTAGAGCCTTCAAAATCTCAAAACATGTTTATCATTTGCTTGTAAATTTCCTAATATCAAACCATTTAAACATTTCAGTAACTTTAGTAGCATTAGATTTAATTGTTAAAAATTTACATTATGGCTTACATTCTTACTTTTAGTGATACCTAAACTGTAATTTAAAGTTAGTTCTGATATATGTTGAATAAAAATATGTATTTATCTTAATAATAGAGAATTTCTAATTTGTATTATAATAAGAAACAATGAAAATCCTTTACTTTCAGATTGGGTTTATGAATCAGGTGAATATTCTAGTAATATAGAAACATCATTTATTAAGGCTATTTCTTCTTATATTCACAAATTTTTAAAAACCTACAATAATTGGTTTTGATAATGATAATATAATAAAACAAATTTGTCAAGATATTCATTTTTTTTCTTTTATTATATATGTAGAAACTTATAAAGTATTTATTTTTAATATTAGCAAATTCTCTAATTTAAAATGATGTAATACTGACAATAGATTTAATTTATCAATAATCCATCTGATAAAAAAAACAAGCAGTTTTTATTTTATAAATTTAAAATAATAAATGTATATTAGACATTTATTAATATAATCAGAAAATTTATAGTTTAGCAATGTTAGTCTAAATAATATATGGAAAAAATTAGGATATATACAGAAAATTGAAAGAAGTATTATTTAGACTTTATAATTCTATTGTATAACATAATAGAAAATATTGTGTACCTACTTGTTTAGTTCAAGATTAAAATAACTTGAATATAATAATTTTACTTTAATATAAATTGAAAGCTTTATTTGATAAATAGATAGATCAAAAAAGTAATATAATTAAAATTTATTTAGTCTTTAAAATCATATATCTTATACAGTATATATTTGAAAATTGTGAAATTAGTGCATAGCAATCTTTTTTAAAAGCTACAGGTTGTTCTAATATTACTCTATTTGAATCAAAAGAATCAAAGGTTAATATAAAAAAAATGATTTTTTTAAATCTGATTTTTAATAATTAATTTTTAATATTTAGTTTCAGTTTTAGACAAATCATCTAATCTTACAAAAGAAAGAAATATATTATTACTATAAAGCTGAATTTCTTATACCTATATCCAATGTTGTTATGGGACATTGATGGGACACTGATGGGACGCTGATGGGACATAGATAGGACAGATAGGACCTTTAGGACATAGTGTGAGACAGGTTAGAACATATAGCTAAGACAACAAATCTCTAGGACATCAAGAATGTACATCACTGCTTATATTTATACATATGCTAATAAAACTAGAATTTTTTGGAATTATATAGATTGTGCATTAAAAGATAATAATAAATCTCATGATGAAAAACATCAAATTTTTTTAATAATTACAAATCAATTCACATATGCAGAAATTGAATTTAATTTAAAAATAAGTTATAAAATAAATACAATACTTTTATATTATAAATATATATTATAAAATAATAAATTATTGTTAAAAAAGGTTAACTGTTATACAATTATTAAAGCAAAACATTATGTATAAATGAATGGATATGATACATCTGAATTAAAAAAGCCTATAATTTACAAAAAAAGGTTTAATCCGAAATAATTAGTCTAATTTGATAAATTTTTTTCAGATAAATCTCATATAAATATAAGCTCTTATAAAAGTAAAGCAAAAACTGGATTACTAATTCTTTATTTATAAAATCATAAAAAAGCATTATGAGAAAAATTTAATGAAAAATACCCTAATGAAATGCGTTATACTGCATTTATGACCTGACTTAAAGGAGAAAGATTTATATATTATAAAAATTTAGGTGATTTATATTTTATTTGTAATAAAAATGGATATAAGACATTTGATTAAATATGAAAGCTTATTAAAAAGCATATAAAAAATATTATTAGTTAGGTATTATTATATTTACCTAATAAATTCAATAATTTATTTTTATCTATATGCATTTTTACTATTTAATAGAAAACATTATTTGAAAAATTAGAACTAATTTATCGATATTTAAAATGAGATTTTGAAAATAATTTAAAAATAAATAATTTAGAAGAATTAATACATAATTTATATATTAGCCATTATTTACAACATGTATTTGGTAATTGTAATCTTTCACATCCTAATACTTATACAAATTGTGAAAAAACTTAGTTTTTTTGATAAATTTCGTGAAATTTTACCAACCGAATACTGTAACAGGATTGGATTGATGAATATGACACAGTATATTATAGATCTAAATGTTAGACATATCAGATATATTTGACATATTTGATATAATTGATATCTTTGACATATCAGATATATTAGATATATTTGATTTATTTGTTATATCTGTCTATGTATTAATTTAATATAAATAGAAAGCAATAAAATCATGTAAACTTAAGTTCACTTTTAATTTTCCTTTAGTTTTGCTTTTAGATATACATATAGTAGTTCTTATAAAGGCGCCTAGCCTAACATTTCACTTAGTACTTTAACTCTTTTGATTTCTCTTATTCTTTCTTATTTTCTTATTTCATATATTATTATTATTACTTCTTATTTTTATTATTTATCGTGAATAAACATATTATTACATCTCAGAATCAATTAAGTTACTTTACTTTTAATCTTATCAGAAATTCACTGCTATGTGAATTATAAACTTGAGTTAAACTGAGATTAAGTCGCTATGTAAACTTAAAAAAATCACTATCTAAATACTCTGTCTAACTATCGCAATTCGCAAGAATTGCATATTAACAATATCATCAATCTCTTGAAATATACTAACAAAAATTACTATATTTTATGGTTTATTATGCACAAAATTTTATTTGAACTAATAATTAAAAGCAAATCTACATAAACTTGATCATAATAATGTACTTATTATTATTGATTATAAAATGCATGTCAATCCACAAAGTTCATGTAAAATAAAGGCTATTTTTTATGAAAAGTGAGGATTTACTTTACATTTAATGCTAGTTTATATTGAATTGAAAAATGATAGAGATCTAAATATTAATGTATTTGATCATTAGTCAGTAATATTAAATAAGACGCTTAGTTTATAGTATTATCTTTACATACTGTTATTGATACTTTAAATAATAAATCTTAATAGGTGACTATTATTTCTGATAATGGTTCTCATTATAACAATACTAAATTAATAGTTATTTTGACTCATTAGAAGAATTGATATAATATTTCTGTAAAAAAGTGAATATTTTTAAAAGTGAGAGAGGTAAAAACATTGATTGATTTACATCATGCATAAGTTAATATATTTATAATTATGAAATTTTTATAAAAATAAAAATTACTTCATTTACCTATTTATTTTATAGATTACATATTCTATGAAACATTATATGAAATTGAGATATGATATTATTAAAGGAGA